CCCAATCTGTAAACCTTTTATTTTCTTTCTTGTCTTATTTCATTTGGTAGGACTTACAGTATGATGTTGAAAAGGGGGAGTGTCAGGATACATCCTTGCCATATTTCTGATATTAGCAGGAAACCTCTAGTTTCTCACCATTACATTTGGTGTTAGCCAGAGATTTTTATAGATGCTCTTTATGAAGTTGAGAAAGTTCTCCTCTATTCTAGTTTGCTGCGAGTTTTTATCATTAATGGATGTTAGATTTTGTCAGATGCTTTTTCTGCATCTATTTATATGATCACGTAATTTTTCTTCTTTAGACTATTGATGCTATAGATTATATGAACTTATTTTCAAATGTTGAACCACCCTTCCATACCTGAAATAAATCCCACTTGATCATAGTATATAAATTGTTTTTACACACTATTAGATTCAATTTGCTAATTTTTATTGAGGAATTAACTTTTTTAAGCTGCATTTTAAAAAATAACTATTGTTGAATAAAAATGTGTTACATATTATTATGGAAAACAGACAAAAAAGAAAAATACTTTTAATGCCATCACTCAGAGGTAACCACTCTCCAATATTTTGGTCTATATTTATAGTCTTTTATGGTAGAAAGAAGAGTAACAGCAACTTCGTTGAGTGGATACTTGAAGTAACTAAGTGGTGACCGCGGTAGAAGTCCCGTGGTGCCCTGTTAACAACATGGGGGTGACAGGAGGAAAGAGGATGTAAGTGAGTGCTTCTGTCTGGGGCTTCTGATGAAGATAAGAAAAAACGGTTTAAGGAAGAGACTGAATGTACACTTGAATAACCTTTTCTCTACCCTTCTCAACACCCCACTGTAGAACCCCAGCAACCCAGCCCCCTCACTGGGTTGTCAGGAGAGTGTTGGGTAGCACTGGCAATGCCAGTAACGGAATACAGTTCATAGTGCTCGTCTGCTGCATTTCTAGGCTGCTGGATAATTTCCCAGCCCTTAGGATGGGCAGTTGTTTTATTCACAGGTGGTGGCTTTTCCACTCATACACAGAAGATAGAGGAAATGGGAGGTTCAGCCCTATGCTTAGAAAGGACTCTGTCTTCCTGCTTGTGGATGAAGCTCTTCGCTTGCCTGCCCTCACTGGAGCCTAACAGGGGTTTGGAGGGAGTTCTCTTGGAGTAAAATTAAGATGCCAGAATAAATACTGGAGAACCTTGCAGGAAATTTGGTTAATAGAACAAGTATTTTTGAAATTTTCAATCAATAAAGACTCTGATACTTTTTTGTGTGTACCTTCCTGCTCCTGACTCTGGTTCATCCTTCTCAGTTTATCTTAGCAGCAGTTTTCTGGAACAGATTTTCCTTCAGCCCGTGTGATGCTTTCTAGCTAGTAAGCTTGTTGTTTTTGTAATCTGCCAATAATAGAAAAGTAAATAAAACCTTCGTTTCTTACAGGCCAGCTAGCTAGGAGTTAATGGCTTCCAGCTATGTCGAACACATTGAAAGGGGTTGTTTTTAGGTACAAGTTCTTAACTCAGGGTTTTATGCATTTAATTATGTATGTGTAAAGTGCCAGTGTGCATGCCTCTTGGGTGCAGCCTCGCTTGGAAATGTTAACTACAGGAGCATATAGACAGTACCATGGGATGCGACTTAACTGTTCAGATGTGCATCCTTTATCCTGAGATTCACATGGTGAGGGTAACATCCCTCAACAGAAGCAGCCTGTTAATTGAGGAAACATCTTAATTAAGAAGAAATAAATCTGAAGAACCCAAAGCAGGCAGTAAGGGATCATTAGAGGAAATATGTTGCAGAAGAAAGTGTGCTGGACCGTCCAGGGGAAAATTGGTTTCTAAAGCTGACATTATCACTGCACTTCTCTCCGGCCTTTTCCCTGCTCTTGTACAGTGTGGCGGTCGGACACAGCTCTAATGAAAAAATTCAGACGTCCAATAGTTAGTTCAGACCATTCCCAAATAAGCCACCGATTTTTTTTCAAATTATAATACTATGCTTAATAATGACACAGCTTTTCACCCTAATGCAACTATAACAAAGATATATCAATACGCTTGTAGCCTTGGCCCTTAAGGTTTCAACAACTTAAGGGCCAATCAGTTGACAAAAGGGAGAAAACTCCTTTTAGGTTTCATCCGTGTAGAGAGGACACAGGTCCCTTGGGTGAGATTTTCTTGGAGACTAGTACCAGTGCCCTAGGAAGTTACTTTAAGGTGAAAGGGGAGAATTTTTTTTCACCAGAGTAGCTGTACTTTTGGCTCTGTTACATTTTGGGGTGAAGGAAAAGGAAGTTCCATGACTTTAAAAAGGTTTGTCAATTTCTATTAGATGCTATATAAAAGGAACATCACCAGGTTTATCATTATGTGATACATCTAGCCTTCTCTCTACATATGTAGAATTTTCTCTTTTTATGTAGTACCGCATGCAATATTGTCAGGAGTATGAGCCTGCCCCTCTCACCTTTGGGGAGCTATTGGACAGAGGCAAGAAGCCCTAAGAAGCCCACTCAGAGAGGATGTCAGTGGCTCCCAGGCAGCAGGTGCTGACAGGAAGGGCATCATGCTCTTGCAGAACTGTTAAGTTTTTAACAGAGTTGATGGCAAGGCAGTGAAATGAGGCCAGAAAGGGGATTTGAAAAGCTGCTTTACTCCTGCCATTGGAGAACCAGAATACTGAACCTGCTGCCATGTGACCCATCCCCAGGGAGTCTCCTCTGTGGGCTCTGAATTAGAGTGCCTGGACCCAGAAGTTTGTTCTTACTGTTTTGAACTAACTTAGAGAATACCTGTTTGTGAATTAGTAGAGAACTGGAGTAAGAAGGAGGCATTAAAGGTTTTATAGAGTAGATTATTCTGCCTTTAATTCTCTTGTGTAGCTTGATCTGTATAAAATAAAGTGTGCCATGTTGAAAAACCTATGTAAAGCAATGAGAAACAGAAAACGTCAGAAAACGTGCTTTTTTTCTTTAAACGGCAGTTTATTCACCTACTGAAGTCTGGCCCACACCTTCCTAGACTGTGATGTCAGCTTCCTAACTTCCAACCTCATGTGTATGTGAGGTCTAGTAAAATAGGTTGCCAGTCAGTTTTTATTGTGACCTTTATTTTTAGTCACTTGGAACTGTTGAGAGTGTTTCTTAGGCATTCAGAAAAGTTCATCCCTTAGCTCAAGCTTCCTTGGTTTAGTCTTTAAGAGAAAATCCTAGATCTTATAAGACCTAATTTATTTCAAGGCTAGAAATCCATTGATAAATGATCACCATAAAGCATAACAGTCTTGAAAGACATTAAAAACTAAAAGGAATTATAATAGTCAACACAATCATAGTTCTTGATCTGGTGTAGAATTTGCAGGATATGAATGACATTTAACACTCCCCTCCCTGTTTCCTTAGAACCCAGGAGGGCACCTGCAGGGAGCACATGAACTCCTGAGGGCTATGCCACTGAGTCACTTGATGTGTGAGCAGATACATGTCGTGCAGGCCTTACTTTGCATTGACATTCTTATGGCACTGTTACATAAGTGGCTTAAAGTATCAAGCCTCTTTCCATTTTTAAGAGGCCAATCAAAAATGGATTGATCTTCCCTCTCATTTAGTCTTTCTCTTAATTTCCTGTCTGAGGTTTTTCCAGTGTGACCTCCCTCGGGCAGACTATTCGAGTGAACAGAGCACCAGACTGGGAGCAAGAAGACTGGAATCTTCCGCGTCTCCTACAAGTTTGCAGCCGTGCCTTTTTCCTCATCTGTGAGAGAAAGGGGCTCACACAGATGACAGCCGCTTTCTCTCTGATCTCTAAAATTGGCTGTTGGTCTCTTTTCCTCTGCTGCCCTACCTCTTCCCTGTTCCTCGCCTCAGCTACCCAGTATGCACAGTTGTTTAACACTACTCGTACAGTAAATGTGATTATGAGGAAATGTCAGTAAATGCAGTTGCTGGCAAGACAAGCAGTTTAGTTCTTATTTTGGTAGTTTCTCACTTGGCCTTTCTTATGCCCTAGCCAATTTAGCCTACAGTCATAATTTATTTGGTTTGTACAATTGTTGCAAAATAAAACAATAATGTATTTTCCTCTATCAGAAAGTAAAAGTTTAAACACTAAATATTACCTGATATTGGTGAAGCTATAAGGGAAATGCTTACTTTCACACGTTGTTGTGGGAGTGTAATTGATGTGTTGTTTGTGGAGAGCATTTGGCAGTATCAGTTAGTGTTTTTAAGAGTACATATGAATTGACCCAGTGATTTCAAAGGTCTCTAAAGAAACTTATATGCAAAATTAAGAGGTATATCCAAGGATATTTATTGATATGCTATTTGTAATAGCAAAAAAAGGAAATGTCCTGTATTTCCATTAAGAAGGGAATGTGTGTATGTATGAGATATTTATGCATTTATTTATATATTTGTATATACAAATGTCCATATTTATCCTCATCATACAGTTATTAAAACTAGTATAAAGAATAAAGTTGCTCTGTAGGTACTAAAATATTTTAAATAAAAGCAAGGCACAGGTCCATATGTGTACTGTGATTCATTTATATAAAAACAATATAATTATGTAGATAGATACAGGTATAGATACATAGAAGAATGGCTGGAAGGATACATGCCAAATTGTTAAGAGTAATTTTCCTCTAAAGAGGGAAATGGTATAGGGAGGGAGAGAGGAGGAGAGTTTCATTTTTCATATGTACTCATCTATTAAATTTTTAAAAAGTAATTATGTATTACTGCTATAAAAATAAAAAGAAAATAAAAAAGGAAGATAAAGAATTTCTTCCTAAAGAATGAAAGAGAAAAAAAAAATTAGCAGGAAATTTATCAAAGATATTAGAGGAGCACTGTTTGGAGGATATTCCCAAGACTTCGGTATTCAGTAGGAACCAGGGTTTGTGTTTTGGCCGTGACTGCCTGGCACTTACAGTGACAGCACTTAACCTTCCACTTCTTTGTGTGTCCAACTGACTCTTCTCACTTGTCTGTGTGCTACAGGTCACTCGGGACCAGATGAAGGTTTTTATACAGCAGGAATTTAAGAAAGTTCAGAAGGTGATTGCTGATGAGGAACAGAAGGCCCTTCATCTAGTGGACATCCAGGAAGCAATGGCCACAGCTCATGTGACTGAGATACTGGCAGACATCCAGTCCCACATGGACAGGTTGATGACTCAGATGGCCCAAGCCAAGGAACAACATGATACCTCTAACGAAGCAGCTGAGCCAAAGGCAGAGGTAAAGGAGAATGCCCACAATTATTAGTAGCAGGACAAATAGGAGGTCTGCCTGCCATGTTTGTTAGCTCTGGAAATGCCCCCTTATAGTCCTTAAGTGTGAATGAATTGAGAGCTTAGCCTGGTATGCATCCCATATGGAAGTACTGGCCTCTGGAGCCTGCAGCCAGCACTGGGCCTGGCAGAATATTTGTCCACCATGACTTAAAGGCATATAGTCACTGAGGGCAAATACTAATCACAGTTAGTGAGGAAAGCCAGAGATCAGAGCCAGAGAAAAGAGCTGTTGACAGATCCCAAATCATAAAATGATCCTGTAAGTAAAGTAGTCGTAGGGGTGAGGACTGGGCTGAATGAGAATAAGTCAGGAAGTAGGGCATAAAGCAGGTCAGAATGAATGATTTTGGGTCTGACTCTGTATATGGTGAAAGGATTCTTCAAGCTGGTTTTTATATGGAGCCGGCTACGTAATTTGGGGGCATAACTGCTGGATTAAGAAAGGTATGTGGGCTAGGACATTGCAGCGATCAAAAAAAGTGTGAAAAAAAGGCATAAAATAAATGTTAAATCACTGTACAAGGAATATAGTCATTATGTTCATTGTTATTTTTTAACCAGATTAAAGGGTCTCAGACATTTTACCAAACAACATGTGTGGGCATTTAGAATCCATTTCTAAAAATAATTTAAGGCAGCCAGTTTTAAAAATATATAAAATTTATAACATTCAGCCACTGGGGAGAGGCTGTTGTTTGTCAGATTTTATACCACTATGTTGAAAAGTCTAGTTGGATTTATGCTAGATGGGTTTAGGGTAAGCCCTTCTAGAAGAAAGCCTAGGAGAGTCTTGTGGATTTTTCAGGACTTACTCAATAAGTTCAGCTTTAACTAGCAGTCTTGCCTTGGCCCAGGAGAGCCTAGCCACAGAATAAGCAAGCCAACAAATGAGCCAAGATATAACGTAGGAGGCAGTTATTATACAAGCCTTCTGAAAGGAAGTGTGAGAGATCACTGGACAGTCGTCCACTTCACTCATCCAAGGTTCTTGATTAGTTTTCATGAATTCATGAAAAAAATAGAATAGCTCTTATTCTTTTCACTTCATTCTCCTCAGAATTAAGACAGTATGTGCTTATGTAAGTTTCTAAATAGGAAAGAGATCACTTTATAGTCATCATTTCATTTAATCCTTTAATCAGCACTCATTCTCTCCATTTTACTGATTGGATCTTGAGATGCAGAGAATTGCAGAGAAACTGGCACAGCAGTGATATTTGGGTAGTAGAAAACAGAACCAGGATTCAGATTTAAGTCTATCCTATTCCATTGCCTGTACTTTGTCTCTATTCTGTTGAAAAGAACCAGTGTCCTAGACAGTTTTGCATTCCTAAGACCTTTTACATTGTGGAGGTGGTCATATTGTGTCTTAATAAACAAAAAGTTCAGCCAGAGTTAAGCTAAGTGCCATAAGTCTCCCTAATTCTCCTCAAATTAGACCCTTACATTTATTCTGTGTGTTAATTAGGTTGTTTTTCAAAAATCAAGATGTATTTTGAGAGGTGGCCACTTCTCCTTTATTTTCATTTTAATAAATGAATTTAGTACTTCTGGTCAAGATGGAGGCATTGGTAAACTTGGCTCACCTCCTCATATAACCACAGCAAAAATTACAACTAAACCACAAGGCAACTGTCACCCAGAATTGTCAGAAAATTGAGCTGTATGGAAGTCTGACAATCAAGGAATTAAAAAAATCATATTCATTCAGATGGATAGAAGGACTGAAAACATGGAGACAGAGAAATGCAGAGACACAGAACTGATGGTGACACACCCATGTGTGGTGGATAAAAATCGGGAAGGATATCTTGACAGCAGGGGACCCCAGCCCCACACCAGGCCCTTAGCCCAGAGTTCCAGTGCCAGGAAGATAAGTTCCCACAACTTCTGGCTATAAAAACAAGTCGGGGTTGGGTGGTGGGAGAAACTGCAGGATTCTCAGGCATCTCCTCTTAAACGGTCTTAGGACTTAGGACTTACAGTCTCATGCCCTCTGGGCTCCAACAGTGGGACAGCAGCTTAGAGGGCACCAGTAGCATACAGGAAGAAACTGAAGTGCCTGGCATCAGGGCAAGTGCAGGGAGACAGCTCACTCCCAGAAAACTCCAGAGACCAGGCAGTGTCCATTGTCCCTTTTCAGAGCTCTGCCTGCACAGAGGCACAGAGTGGTGACACCATAGCTGAGGCTCCATCAACCTGGTTCACAGGGGTTGCCCCACCCAGGCGACTACCTAAGGCTCCACCCCATCCAACTTGCAGGTGTGCTTCTCTACAACAGGCCACACTACTAAGACAGGGAGTCAAAGCAGCTGTATACAAACACAGGGAGGCAGCCAAATTGAGGAGACAAAGAAACATGGTCCAAATGAAAGAACAGAACAAAATTCCAGAAAAAGAACTAAACAAAATGGAGACAAGCAGTCTATCATATGCAGAGTTCAAAACACTGGTTAACAGGTGCCCAAGGAACTCAATGGGTACTTCAATAGTATAAAAAAGACCCAGGCAGAAATAAAGTTTACACTAAGTGAAATAAAGAAAAATTTACAGGGATTCAACAGTGTTGTGGATGAAGCTGAGAATAAAATTAATTTGGAACACAAGGAAGAAAATGCTATCAGGACAGCAAGAAAAAAGGAATTAAAAAAACAACAACAACAAGGATAGGGTAAGGAGCCTCAGGGACAACTTCAAATGTACCAACATTTGAATTCTAGGGGTGTCAGAAGGAGAAGAGGAAGAGCAAGAAATTGAAAACTTATTTGAGAAAATAATGAAAGAAAACTTCCTTAATTTGGTGAAGGAAATAGACATACAAATCCAGGAAGCACAGAGAGTCCCCAAAAAGATGGGCACATAGAGGACCACACCAAAACACATGGTAATTAAGATGCCAGAGTTTAAAGATAAGAGAGGGAATCTTAAAAGCAGCAAGCGAAAAGCATATAGTTACCTACAAAGGAGTTCCCATAAGACTGTCAGCTGATTTCTGAAAAGAAACTTTGCAGGCAAGAAGGGACTGGCAAGAATAATTCAAAGTGATGGAAAGCAAGGACCTACAACCTAGATTACTCTATCCAGCAAAGTGCTATCATTTAGAATGAAAGGGCAGATAAAGTGCTTCCCAGACAAGGTAAAGCTAAATGAGTTCATCATCACCAAGCCATTACATGAAATGTTAAAGGGACTTATTTAAAAAAAAGAAGATCAAAACTATGAACATTTAAATGGCAACAAATTTACAACTATCAACAACAGAATTTTTAAAAAACTAAGCAAACAAGTAGAACAGAAACATAATCATAAATATGGAGATCATTTGGAGGGTTATCAGTTGGGAGGGGGAAGGTAGAGAATGGGGGAAGAGGTTCAGGGATTAAGAAATACTGATTAGTAGGTACAAAATAGGGAGGGGGATGTTATGAACAGTATAGGAAATGAAGACAAAGACTTATATGCATGACCCATGGACATGAACTACATGGGGGTATGGGGTGGAGGGTGGCAAAGGGGGGAAAATTGGGACAACATAGCAGCATAATCAATAAAATACATTTGAAAAATAAGTAAATGAATTTAGCCCCTCCTCAACATCAACTGCATTATACTTGTTAACTCTGATGGAATTACTCTTAGGGATATGAAGGTAACGAGGCCTGAGGACCAGGCTGTGGAAAAAATGAGCTATTGAAAACAAGAAGTAGCGTTCAGCAGACTAGAACTCTCACAAAGAACTGTTATCATCTAACAGCCTGTCGTTCTAGCTCACCTGGATATTTATTGATGAGAGCAAATAACTAGTACCTTCCTTTCCTTCAACAGAGGCATTTTTTTCTTCCTTTTGCAAGATACTAATTTTTTTATTATCTGCATTTTTAATTTGGCCAAAAGATCACTCCCCCAACGTTTTATTATGAAAATTTTCACACATATATCAAAGTTGAAAGGTTCTCACAGTTATACCCATATACCTCCACCTTGACTCTGTCAGTAGTATTTTACTGTACTTGATTTATTCTACACACGCAACCATCTTTCCATCCTTCCCCTCATCAATGCATCTTATTTTTGATGCTTTTAAAAGTGAACTGTAGTGACTGGTTCTGAACATGTGATTTATTCTTTTTACTCATTGATTATTTTGGATTGTGTTGTTTAGCTTCCAAATATTAGTAATTTTCCTATATATGTTACTGTTTTTCATTTCTGATTTGGTTCCATTCTGATCAGAGAACATACTGTGAACTATTTAAGTCTTTTAACATTTATCAAGACTTGCTTTATGGCCCAGGATATGGTCTGTCTTAGTGAATGCACATGTGTACCTAAAGAGAATGTGTATTCTGTACTTGGGATGTAGTGTTCTATTAAATATCAATTAAGTGTCCAGATAACTTACGACTTTTACTGATTCGTGTATATTTGTGACATTGTTCTATCAACTGTTGAGAGAGCCATATTAAATTTCCAAGTGTGATCATTGAATTATCTATCTCCCCCTTTAATTCTATCAACTTTTCTTCAGATATTTTGAATCTTATTAAACAAATACATATTCTGATGAACTAACCCTTTAATCATCATGAAAAGTTACCCTTTTTCTTTATTCTTTGTCTAGATGTCTACTTTTATTTATTATTGGTAGGGCCGATCCAGTCTTATGCTAACTGATTTCATGGTGGGTGTCTTTCCAACCAGTTACTTTCACTCTGTCCGTGGTTACAGTCTTTGTGCCTTAGGCAGCATGCAGCTGGGTCTTACTCTTTTATCTTTCTGATAGTCTCTGCCTTTTAATTGAAATGCTCAGCTAATTAACATTTAAGTGTTGTTATTAATATGGTTTAATTTAGGTGTGCGATCTTGTTGTTTCCTATTTGTTTCTCTGGTTTTGTCACTCTCCTTCTTTCCTACCTTTTGGATTTCTGAAACATTTGAATTGTATTTTGATGTATCTATTGGCCTTTTAGCTCTATTACTGTGTATTACCTTTAGTGGTTTCTATGAGGATTGTAATAAAGATCCTTAAATTTTGAGTCTACTAAAATTAAATTGTATCACTTCAAATAAAATGGAGATGAGACTATATAGGCCAATTTACCCTCCTTCCATGTTGTTTGATATAGTATCATATATAACAATCTACTTACAAGCACTGCAGGGCAGTTCTAGTTCTTGTTAAATACTCATATACTTTTAAAGAGATTAAGGAGAAGAGAGTCATAATTTTGTATCTGTATATGTACATAATTTTATATATGTATATAATTTAGTTTGTGATAATTGTTGCATGCTGTAAGTTTACTAAGAGCTATTAAACATACACTTAAAACAGGTATTTTTATGGTGTTATAAATTGTATTTCAGTAAATCTTAAAAGCCTAGATATCCCACATGCCCAAGTGCTATTTGCTTTTGATTCATGAAGATTATTCTGAAAGTAGCCCATTAACACAGTGTGTTCATTTTATGAAACCTTTAGCACAGATGAATTTGATTAGCAAGGAGATCACAGAGCTTCTGGTTGAAGGGGTCCAAAGATTACAAGGTTTCCTGATATTTCTTTTAAAAAATATGTCTTTCTGGGCCATCTTATGGAATATAGGGTAGGAGAAGAGTTTCAATACCAGTCTCACAAGTCTAAAAAGATGTGGTCTTTCCCCTCTTCAGATAACTGAAGTATTGCTTTATTAGTCATTATAGAATATTTAAAACTTTTAGACATGGCAGAAGGTAAACACAGACTAAACTGATGGTCATCATTAGGTATTATGTTTGTGTGTGTGTGTTTTACCAGCTTTATTGGGATATTATAGACATATAACATATATACATTTAAGGTATATGATTTGATACATGTATATATTGAAAAATATTACCACAGTAAGACTAGTTAACACTTTCATCTCAACATCATTTTTTTCTTAACAATATATTTAAAATTTTCCTTGTATTACCAGAAATTCTTCATAAACATGTTTGAATCCTGCTTCAGTGATACAAATTTAACTTTTACCTCACTTTAAGTAGTTTCAAACTTTTTACTGTAATTCATAACATTGTAGGCAACTTCAAAAGTCTGTGAAAAGTCATAGACTTTTATGCTTTTTTTTCTAGTATTTTGCATGTATCTCATCTACATCAAAATTGAGAGAAGCAGCCCTGGCTGGCGTAGCTCAGTGGATTGAGCGCAGGCTGTGAACCAAAGTGTTGCAGATTCGATTCCCAGCCAGGGTACATGCCTGGGTTGCAGGCCACAGCCCCCAGCAACCGTACATTGATGTTTCTCTCTCTCTTTCTCTCTCCCTTCCCTTTCTAAAAATAAATAAATAAAATCTTAAAAAAATTGAGAGAAGCTTTTAAGAAACTCATCTGTATTGGACACTTTGCAAGGATTCAGCTTAATTTTCATGGAATCAATTTATGGAAGCAACAGTTCTCTCTTGTACTCATTACTCATTTTTTAACAAAATATGTCATCATTATAGGAACAAACTTGTTTGATTTTTGGTGAACATACATTTTCATTGGTGGAAGTGGCAATGAGAAGTTGTGCTAGAATGTATCCAGCCAGGAGCACTCAGGATATTGTATGGAGAGATTTGAAAACACTGCTTAACCTAACAAGTCATTTAAACAGACATTGGTGTTTAACAGATTTTCAGTTCTAATAATCTCTGAAACCAGAATTCACTTGTAATGGGGATAGAAATTAATCCTAAATTCAACATATATCTTGTCTTCCCTTCTTTCCTTTTTTGACTGATCATCCACCATGTGCCTTGTGCTGTGCTGGGTGCAGTGAATAAAGAGATGAACAACACTCAGTTTTTGTTCTCAAGCACAGCAGTCCAAAGAGGGAGACACTGTAAGATGCTGTCTCTGTCCGTGTTCTGCTCTCAATACTAGCCCAGAAGTGTGAGCCACACGGTGTGGAGGAGAGGGGATTACCCTGTTCAGCCTGTAAGGGAGGAAAAATTTCCAAGTGAGGCTTGATCTTGGAGGATGGATAGGAATTAGCTGGGCTTTCAGGCTAGGGATGTGCATTTTCAGGTAGCATGAACAGCCTGTACCTTTCTTCTACTAGCAAGTTTAGCAATTCTCTGAATGTCTGCTGACCTACGCAGAATTGCCTTATATGTGTGTGTCTGCCCCTCTTTCCCTCCCTCCCTCCCTCCCTTCCATAGTGAAACTCTCACCCCGTCCTCCCCATGCTTTGTGATAGTGATTATTGTTTCTGAAAAAAAAAAAAAAAACAACAACAACATATCTATAAGCAGCAGAGATGAATGAATGTAAAGCAAAATCTTGTGCCCCATCTTCTCTACCCTTCCGCACTTTACCTAGAAATGTTATTAATTAGCAATTCAAGGAAAGTATTGTACAGTAGTGACCACTATGTGGAACACTTACCATGTATTGGACCCTTGCTTAGTGTTTTACAAGCATTTCTCACTTATTTTAATGTCTCTGGCCATTCTGTGAGGTAAGGATTAGAATCTCCATGTGTAAATGAGGAATGTGAACCTTGGGAAAGTTCAGGGACTGCCAAAAGCGTCACTGTTGGAATTGGTGACCAGAGGTTAAAGCTGTGCCCTTCTAACCCAGAACCCTGTCTCGTAACAATTGCACCACGAAATGTGAGTATGAGGAGGACTAGCTCTAAATCAAGGGAGAAAGTTTGAATACTTTTTTTTTCATAATGTTCCCCTAGACAATTATATGTTAACATCCAAAGATAATTGAAAAATTGTGTTGAGGTTTAATTGTATCACTGATAGTTATGTAACTCATTATTAAATTCAAATTATATGACTTTTTTTCTTACTAGATTATAGTTCCCATAAGACATGCCAGTCGATCAAAATGCCAGCAAAGCTTCCGCAGTCCCTCTGCCCGCCTTCCACCACTCACCCTACTTTTTTCTCCAAGTACGGATGATTAGTGCCCTTAGCAATAGCGGAAACCTTAACCGTGCTCTAAAAATGCCCTTCTTACCCATCCTCCAGCGTGTACACGGCTTTAAGTAACCTTCCTGTCTGCAGCTGACCTCTGTAACCTCAGTTGCACTCCCAGTCCCGAACCCCACACCACCACCGCCCCCACAGCCCCCGCCCAAGACACAAACACACACATCCCCATTCCCCAGTTTCACAGAACTCAGAGTTCCTTAAGCACCCATTTTTTTAAAACTGCTGTGCCTTTGCTCTCACTAGTCCAGTGCCCTTCCCACTTATCTTCTCTTGTCAGCCTGGGAAAATCCTGCTTATCCCTCAAACGCCAGTGCCAATGGCGCCTTCTCTCAGCGTTCTGTTTGTGTCTTCGGTAGGGCCCTTACCACATGTAGTCACAGTTCGCCTTGTATCTGTTTCTCTCTGTTTCTCCTCACAGAGAGCCGCTAGGAGCTCCGATCATTATGGGGTATTAATCTTTTACCCTTAGCACCTACATGTTGTTGCTTCTTAATGAATGATACTGAATTGTTACTGATAATGATAAAATAACTTTTATTAAGTACACCCTGTATCTTAGGCATTGAGCTTGATGTTTATATACATTGTTCTATTTACTCCTCACACTCATTCTGTGATATAGGGACAATTACTATTCTCCTTTTACAAACTAGGAAATTGATGTTAAGAGAGGCAAAATAATTTGACCAGGGTAACACAGCAAGCAAGTGATGGAGTCCAGATTGGAACCCAGAGTGTCGACTCCAGAGCTCATGCTTCTTCATACCAATAGGAGCAATTAATCAATCAAATAAACAAGTTCTCTGAGAACCAATCCCAGATGGCTAAAAAGGAGGATTTAAAAGCTACCCTGTCACCAAAACGATGAGTGAGGCCCCTTGGGAAAGTCTTGAGAGTCATTTGAAAAATCTGGTTTGGACAAGAGGCTCAATGAAATGTTCTGTGGTCACCAATAGTGTTAGGATCCGAGAATCCCATACCTGGAAGAAGAAGACTCACATGTTGTTTTAGCAGAGTGAGCAAGAAAAACAGAAAAGCCCTTGTTTGTCTGAGAATGATCCGGGTCATCAAATGCTAGAGCTACCCTTGTTCAGGAGAAGACCAAGGTCCAGCTTAATTAATTAGCTTGTCCAAGGGCACATAGCTAATGAGTAACAGAGCTTGGACTAGAATCCCAGTTTCCTGATCCCAGTTCAGTGCCCTTTCCATCATAGTGTGCTGTATGTTAGAGTCCCTGTGTTTCTCTTTGGAGGAAAAAAAATTCTAGGCCAAGGCAGAAAGGAGTCTTTGAGGGAAGCAGCTTGATACTTTGGGAGCTGGTCAGCTTTTGTCTAAGACCTGCTGTTATTTTGGGCTCTGTTTGCTCAGAACTAAATACTGCCAACCACACAAATAAAAAGGCAAAGCTATTATTTAGGGCTCTTAGGTCTGTGCATTCACATCTCTGCTTGCAAGGGCAAATTACCAGTTCATCTTTGTTGGGCAGTTTGAACATGGGATCATACTAGCCCTTGTCTTAGCCCTCAGATGTCTACAAGTTTGTCTCTGTTAATAATAAATGCCCAGGCTTTGCTTCAGGTTGGGAAAGGAGAAGGAAAAGAAAGCAGTCTAAATTAATCTCTACCAATGTTGATTTCTAATGCTGTTTCTTTCTGTTTCTTCCAGGGTGACGAGGAAGGACCCAGGTAAGATCACATTATTGCTTTTGCCTGTTCTCAAAATTGAAGTAGAGTGTGATGCTGTGACCTTTTAACGCCCCGTGAAATAGGGACAGCCAAGAAACAGCACAGAAAAGGAATCTCCTTCTTAAGCCAGGGCTTTGAAGATCTTACTTTGTAAGATTCCCATCTCCCTCCCCATCTATGCCATTTCCTGCCTGTAACCTTCAGATAAAAGTAGACTGTAAAGTACGTAATGACGATTATGTTGCTTTATTCTTTGGCACATGCAGGATATCTGTTAAGAATACTGGCACTGTATTTGAATGGTAATTGGACTCTCAGGTGGACTGACTAGATAAACTTGCATCTTGTTCTTTCTTGATTGGAGCTGGGTTGCTTTTTTTGTGGGCTCTGGATCCAACATTATTTATTTCTGACCTATAATATCTTTGTGTACCACTCAAGACACCTGTACAATGAATCCTAGATCATAGGTATACAAAGTTTTGTTTAGGAAAAAAAGTGATCCTTTGTGCTTCTGTATCACCACATGAAATTTGAAAGTGCATTTTAAAGAAGATGATTTGACTTTGGGTGGTGGGCATACAGTGCAATATACAGATCTTACATCATAGAAATATAAACTTGAAATCTGTGTGATCCTATTAACCAATATCACCCCAATGAATTTAATTTAAAAATAAAAATACATAAAAGTGCATTTTATTTTGGCCTCAGCCTTGCAGTGCACCTGGACTTTGGTTTACTTACCTTTCCTGTCCTTCTGCTTGGGCAGTGACACAGGCTCTGGAAATGCTGCAGCTATGCCATCAACACAACTGAGGGGCATGTGTAGAAAGTAAAATACAGTGTCCAGATGGGTCCCCTCTGTCACATAGATCAGAGACTGCTAAGGCTGAGAGGTACTGGAAAGGTCATCCAGGCCATTGCTATTCAGAACTTTAGTTATAGCAGAAGCATCCTTTTTTCAAATGTGCTTTAAGTAGAAACCGAATGTATAAAAAACAATTTTCTCTGGTTAAAGCTGGGGGCCATATCTGCTGGTGAATCTCCTCTCTTTAATACAATAGACCCCGAGGGACTTCTGCAGAAACCTAGGGTTCCTCAGAACTCAGAAAATCACCAATTTAGGCTTCTCATTGAAAGAAGCTGAATGAATTGTCTGAGGTTACTTTACTATAGAACCAGGATTTAGCCCTTGTTTGGTTTTATTTGCAAAGCAACAAATACCCGTCCTTTTTTTGTTTGTTTCTCCTGTCCCACATCCTTAGCCTCTTTCTTAGCACTAAATGTTATCCCACATCTGTCTGCATCTCCTGGTGCTTCCCTCCCTCAGGCACTGTGGTTCTCAGCCTAGATCTTGCTCCTTGTCTGTAGTGGTAAAGCCACAGGTATCCCGCTTTAAACCTACAGAGCCTCAGGGAGTCCCTTCAGACTTCATCTTCCAGCCTTCCGCTCCCTCTGTGTTGTGGCCCCTCCCTCCCTTCCTCCTTCTTTCCCTCCATGTTTTTTCCCCTCTCTCTCTTCCTCCCTCCCTTTCTATGTTTATGACCCTACAGTGTGTGAGGCACTGTATATACTGGGTATATAATGGTAACTAAAACAGATACGGTCTCTGATCTTGTGGATCCTAAGTCTACTGGGAGATGAGCATTTACCTGGGCACTTATACTGTGGGGGAAGTGTTATGATAAGAAAAGTGTTGTCTCCTTTAAGAAGGGCTCCTAAGTCAATCTTGGGTGATAAGGGCAGGCTTACTAGAAAAGGTTATAAATAATTAGAGGTCTGAAAAATGAGGGGGCAGACAAAAGAGGAGCAGGGGTAGGAGTTGTTCTAGGGAACAACCTATGTAAAAGTTCTAGACAAGAGAATAATGGAGGAAAGAAAGCAGAGCCTAGGTCAGTTAGGGCCTTGTAGGACTCCTTAAGGTATTGGAGCTCTATCCAGCAGGCAGTGAGTGGGTAGACATCCTGGAATTTCAAACACTAGAGCTGGGGAAGACTAGTTAGACTATGCTAGTGACGATGAAAGCCTTAAGTCAACAACTTCTATAGTTGTTGACTAAGTAAGTGTTCACCATTTTGCACAGACTTTGGGTTGAGACACACTCTTTATCTCCTTGGCACTCCACTTCTACTCTCAAGACTAACTCTAGCTCCTTAAAATCCAGGCCAAGCAGAACCCTAGACCATCTTTTCCCCAGAAGGAGAGTTCAAACAAGACCAATATAAAGAAGACACCTTAGCAGATGTGATGTGCACACTCCACAGGGCCGAAGTGGCGTTTCTGTCTTGGGAGAGCCTGATTAGGATGAACACCTCATCTCTGCTTTGTGGTCACGTGCCGGAGCCTCATTGATTAGAAGACTACAGGGACCTTATGAAGAGACACTATTCAGTGTGAGAGGCTGGCTTTAGAATTTAATTGCTGACACCTTCGTGTCACTTTGAGCAGTGGTAGAGCACGGAGTTTTTTCACTAGCAACCTGGATGGCGTGCTGTTTCCCTCCAGCCAGGCTGCATGGATGTCAGCAGGGATTCTGCTTAACGGGCACTTGACAGAACCCTTTTTAGGTACAATGAGCACTTGAAAAGTATGTTCCAATTTGGCAGAAAGAGGAGTCAGATTTTCTTTTTAACCTTTAAATTTATACTTTTTGATTCTATTCAGTTTGCTTGTGTTGACATACCATTTGGCTCAATTTATTCCAATTAACACTTCAGGGTAGATTGCCTTTGATCAGAAAGTTCTCTTGTTTATGATAGACACTCTACCATCATCTCAAGAAACCGAACAGTTCCGTTCCAAAGGCTTCTGAGTTGCCGACAGCATTGAGTGAGGGTGTGATGTGTAAGGGAGGCAGACAGGAAGTATGGGTCTGCCTGCACAGGGAGGGGGTGGAAGAGAAATTCACCTGCAGAGCCCGAGTCCCAGGTCTGCGTGGATTTTTATACCTGTGTCTCCTTTGCTAGCATTCTGCCCACACAGTCACCGCCCCACAGTCTGCACAGGAGTTCAGGGGGAATTGGATTACAACCACTGTCCGCAGTGGAAGGAACAAAGGAAATTCTGCCCTATTGAATTGTATTGGTCTGTAATAGATCTATTGGGTTTTTTTTTTTTCTTCTTCTTCTCTCAAGCTGAAGTCTCCCTGCCTTCTTTCCTCTTTTCAGTTGTGACTTCTTAAGCTCTGGACATGAGGTGGCAAGTATTTGTCCTTTTAGTGGTATCTATTTCTTACCTTGAATTTTATTGAGTAGTTGTCCTGCTAATTAACTATGTAATGATCATAGCTACCGTTTATTGAAGGTTTCCTCTGCATTCTCATTTAATCCTCACATAAAGCCTATAATGTAATTATTACCCTACTTCTAAAGGAGGAAGTTAATGCTCAGAAGCATTAGCTTGCCCTAGACACACAGCTGGTAAGTGGCAGAGCTAGGGCTTGAGCGTAGTCTGGCTTCGGGGCTTATGCCCTCAGCACCATCAGACTGTCTCCAAGAGGCCAGCACACTTCTCTCTGTGACCCTGGATGAAAGCCAGGAGGATTCATGCACAGTTCTCAGAGGGTCACTTTGGACTTGTTCCTCTGACTTGATAGTTCTTACTTGCTCCAACATGCAGTCGTCGTGGCCTCTATTTTGTGCATGCTGCTTCTCCTCTCCTTTGCCTCTGTCATTATAAAGGGATATTTCTTTATTTGATCTTCACACAGTGTCCTCTGAGGGTCGGCAGCGAAAGAGGTGCTTTTAGGCTTCCTGAGGAGCAGCTGACCAACCCTTTCTTTGGCCCCACAGAATAGCTGCCTATTGCCCTTCCACCTGGTAGTAAGTAGTTTACTCTTCAGATCCACGATACAGTCATGTCGACAGTGACAAGGGATCTTGGAGAGCGTGGAGGAGCAACAGTCCTGATATATTGAACATGGGTATTAACCACTGTGGAGTCATCTTTCAAGAGGGTGTCTTTGAAACCCAGAGCAATTTTTTTTCTTTTTGTCAAGCAAAAAATGTAATTCATGCTTTTGGTAGCAATATTCTGTTTTCTCTGTGCTGTAATGGGAGATGTTGTGTTCGCTCCCTCACAGATTGACTCCTTCCCTGCCCCTGCAGGAGCCTGCTGGGAAGTCGTGTATGTTCCAAGAGACGGGGTGGCAGTGGGATCTGCTGCCTAGAAGCTGCTGTTAGTGGGAGGAAGTCAGAGAGGGAAGGGCCCTTCAACTCTTGTGCTCAGAAGAGAAAGGAGCAAGATCAATATTAAAGTTTGATTTGCTGTTGAGATTTTCTGTGATTTTTTTTTTTAACTAAGAGGGAGATTGCTTTTTAATAGTGACAGCTATACTTGGGACTTCTGTAGAATTTTTCATCTTCAGAGCTGGCTCTTAATTGAGGCAAAAAGTGCCTGCAGAGATCAGTGTGAATCTGACCCATGCTGAGTCTAGGATCAAGCAGGCAGCAAGTTCTAGAGGAGGGGGGCTCCAAAAGGGTGTGCAGACCCACCTTCTGTTCTGAGTCTGCCTGTGACTGCCCCCGGGAGCTTGAGCAAATCATTCAGCCTCTTTGCTTCTTTGTAGTCTGGTTTTCTCTCCCCATAAATACTAATCTGCACCACTCTCCTCCCCCGCTGCTCCCCAACCAGTTTTTTGGGATATAATTGTGTGGGAAAATATAGTTTTATATTAAATATGGAGTGGAAAGAATCTACTTAGAGATTTTGTGACTTAGTAGATGTTTAAAAATCTCAAAAAAAAGTGGGGGTTTGTACTGTAGGTACCCTTTTTTCCCCTTTAAAATAATAACCATAGATCCTTAGTTGTGGCATTTCTCTTCCAGATGACTTAGTTTATAGAGATAAGAGGGGACTGTGTCAATGATACACTTCATTTTCTTTTGTCCTCTGATTGCAAATTCATGGTTTCGTTTTTGCATTACCTTCATTTCAGAAGACCTAGCTGGAAGCCAGAGAAAACGGCTTTGATCCTGTGACGTGGAATGGAGCTGTCAGGGCTGCTTGATGTACATAAGTAGAGTCCCAACATCTCAGTTGGCCTTCAGCATAGAAAGTCCCTTGACTGTTAATTTCCCTGTTAGGGAACCTGAGCTGACTTTGTTTTCCACTGCTAATGTGGATTGTTTCTCTTTTACTCACCCAAATGAAGGCTGAAACCATGCTATGCACTGTGCCGCCTGTCTGTAATAAAAGCAAGCCTCCTTGCTCAAGTAACTGATTTCCATATATTTGCCTGTGAGAATCACAACTTCAGTTTATTTTGTGTGAATGTATATCACCAGAGAATCCATTCACAGCTGGAACATTCAGCCAAGGTGCCTTTAGCTTATTGTTTGCCTCACACTGGAACTGCTGGCTAGCAGCAGCCTGCGTTACAACACACATCCGCCTGCCTTTCCTAGCCTCACAGTGCTGAGAGAAAGGCCCCAGTAGGAACAGGCCTGGGTGTCACCTGCATGCTGTGGTTTTACTCTGACCAACCTTTGTTTCCCGTCCAGGGCAGTAGTTGTGATGTTTGACAGGCTAACCTTGTTTATAGCTTTGGCCTCAGAGCTTACCAGGATAACATTCACTTCTAGGAGCTCTGCGCTGTGATTTCTCAAGCAGGAATAATTGCAGAGTGCTTCTTTCATTCATTTGCTCTCAAACATTTTTGACTGTCTCCTGTGCTGTCGTGCTGCGTGCTAGGCCTCAGGGATGTGAGGATGAGAAAGACTTTGTTCCTGTATGTAAAGATCTCAAAGTCTACTTTGAAAGAGAGAACTAATTGAACAGCTTTAATTTCACTTTTCAGTGCAATATAATAATTATTATATAGTATAATTATAAATTATTATTATAAAGAAGCATTTGTTGAATGCCAACCAGGTGCTGAAAGTATTTTAAACATGTACCATCTAATTTATTTCTCACAACAGTCCTAATAAGTGGTTAATAATTGTTATCTTCATTTCTCACCTGAGATGAGAAAACAGGCACAGAGAGGCTATCCCTACACGAGGTCATACACAGGAAGTGCTAGCGCTGGCCTTCACACTTGACCAGTGTGACTCAAGAAGGCAGGCTCCTGACCCCTGCACTGTAGTGATTCTCTGTAATGCATACGTTGGCTGTAGAGAAGGCTACAACTGTCTCAGAACAGAGAATCAGAAAGGTAGCATTTGTGCTGGACTTTGAAGGAAGGGTGGAGTGGGCCTGTCCAGATAGAAGGGTAGGAACCCGTTCGAGCAGAGAGGCCGACATGTCCGGCCGGAGATGAGTCGAAGAGGTGGGTGAGTTCACCCCGTAAGGGTCTTCATGCCATGTTGAAGTACCAGAACGTTTGCATCATTCCCTGTTAGACTTACCTCTTGACTACAGTGTTGTCCTGTCCATGGAAGAGATGCACAGACTTCTGAATCTTACGGGCTTCTTCCCGAGTCACATCTCATGATTGGTTATGGGTAGGTTGTTTGCCTTCCTTTATGCCTCAGTTTCCCCATTAGAATGGCACATCCTATTATACTTTAAGGACAAAGATGATGTGAAGCATTGAAAGTATTCTCCTTTTGGTTTCTTCTTTTAGATTAAAAAAAAACAAGCAACTGAGATAAAGTAGTCATAAAAGGAAACTTTGATTTGTGTCTTATTTATACCCCTATTTTGACAGCTCCTGCCTAAGTCGTTATCTAGCTCCTTGTAGATTAATGGAGAAAAGGAGGACTGAAGCATCAACATTTTCCAAGGGGATTTAAGGCTATAGAAGTTTTACAAGCTAGTCAAAGAATAAAAACGTTGTCAAATATGTCCCTGAGTTAAATCAAATGCTGAAGAGTCTGGCCGGAGGCTAGTTCTCTTCTTCCTTCTTTGTCTTCAGAGCTGGTTTTGTTTTGTTTTTTTACTTTTTAAAAATTTTATTTATTGATTTTTTAGAGAAAGAGGAACATCAGTTTGTTGTTCAACTTATTTATGCATTCATTGGTTGATTCTTGTTATGCCCTGCCTGGGAATCAAACCCACAACCTTGGTTTATCAAAACAAAGCTCTAACCAGCTGAGCTGCCCAGCCAGGGCCATCAGCACTGTTTTGAACTAGTACTAAGCATAATAGATTTCAGGAAGTCACAAAACTCTGGCCTGTGTTTTAAGAGTAAGTAAATATGATGTCATTGGTAATGCCTCCCTCACCCGTGGCAGCCACAGCAAAATTGTTGTCAGGGGTGACTTCTTTTATTTTAGGAGGAACCTGCTGGTCTCTAACATCTTCTTATTTCTTCCCAGTGAGGGGCATTGAGGAGATCCATGATTTCATTTTCCCAACAGCTTCCAAGGACGACATTCATCTCTTTACCCAGAAACTCACATCAGGCATCTGTAACGGATGCTGGGAGCAGAAGCTGGTGTGTTTTTGTTTTGGCCTGGTTTTCTCTTGTATCTTTTTTCTTTTTCTCCTTTCTGCTTCATATGAAGATTAGAGCCAATGAATGCAGGGAGGTTGCTTCAGTACTTTAAGGAAGTTGTCCAAAAGCTAAGATAAAACTGGGGTACCCTAAATGAGAAGGTGTGTACCAAAGATCAATATATTCATGTGCTTGTGCCTGTTTGGACTCAGGAACCTAACTATGAGTGGTTACAGGTTGGCCAGAGAAATACTTTCTTATTCACAAGCTGGGGTTTCAGGGAACAAAAACAGTATCTTTTATAAATGCCTCATTCCCCTACTCCTCAGCACCACTACCAGTTGTTCCCCGTAGGTTGCAGTGTGGTTGTAAAACAGAAAAGCATTTTGTTTCCGTGGTGAGTACATGTCTCCTTCCCCTCTGGTTCCATCAATTCTGTTTAAAGGAGAGTGAGATTGAGTGTGAGAAAGACAGTGCAGAGAAGGAGGAGCTGACGGAACAGCAGTGAAGGTCGGGGGAGGAGCGTTTCCCTGCTGCCCCTGACTGCTGGGTGCATCTTGGTCTAGATGCCACAGGGATGGCGTGCTGTGTTATGCCTCCTGCACAGCCACGGCCACTCAGTCGAGGGCCCGCTGAGGCTGAGCAGGCTGGCAGCTTTGCCCTGACTTTCAGGGTTATCCAGGACCAACAGCTGAACAGCAGTCATAGCAGTGATGCCTGCTTATGTCTTGGACATTAAATAGGAGCTAACCTACATATGTCATTTCAAAGCTTTAAAACAGCCCTCTGGAGTATAGTTATTTGAATTCTCTTTTTACAGATGAAGAAATTAGTATTATAAGAGTTTAAGTGATTAAGCCATGGTCACAGAGTTACAGAGTGACTCCACCAGGAGTAGAGTCCAGGTAAGTCAGGCTTGAAATTCTCTGCTTTCAGCTACTGCACTACCTATACTATACTGTACTACACTACACTGTACTACACTGCACTGTACTGCACTGCACTGTACTACACTATACTACACTGTACTATACTACATGACACTACACTGCACTATATTGCACTATACTACACTGTACTACACTATACCACACGACACTACACTCTACTACATCGTACTACACTACACTGTGCTACACTACACATTATACTGCACTGCACTACAGTGCACTACACTGTACTATGCTACACTGCACTACACTCTACTATACTGCACTACACTCTACTGCACTGTATTACACTTTACTGCACTGCACTACACTACACTGTACTATGCTGCACTGCACTACACTGTACCATGCTACATTGCACTACACTCTGCTACGCTGCGCTGTATTGCACTGCACTGTATTACACTGCACCACACTGTACTATGCTATACTGCACTGCACTACACTGTACTACAATGTGCTACACTGTAGTACACTCCACTACACCATACTACACTGCACTGCACTATACTACACTGTACTGTACTACACGGCCTTTCTTAGGAGATGGAAGATTACTATCTTCTAACCTCTTGGCTGGAATAAATAAAGTTGATGGAATTGTGACAAGCCAACAGGGATTTGGCATTTTTATCAGAAAAAATTTCATTTTCTCTGTTGAGTGGCAACAATCAGTTTATCTGAGAAGGTAGAGGAGGTGGAGCTTGCCAGGAAAATGCCTGAGGTGGAAGGAACAGGAACTTCTCTCCTCACACAGGTAAACACTAGTTTACTCCCTGGCTTTTGTGGAGCCAGCAATTGCTATTGCCTTTTCTGAAAGAGACACTGTTCACCCAGTGGCAGGTGCAGGCCAACTGTTGTCATGGCAACGGCAGGGGAGGCAAGCAGTTTAATTCCAGAACTGATAATTAACTGGGGGGTTGGGAGGGCGTGAGGACAGAAATGGGGGGATGATTGTTTCAGGAGGGAAACCTTAGCAATTACGGGCAGGCTGCATAGATGAAAAGGCCAAGCACGATGCTCCAGCCCAGCATGCCCCTGGAATTAGCGCTCACCGCCTCTGGCTGGGAATTTTTGACAACCTAAAGGGAAGGGTCGAGTCCCCAACCAGCTAAGACCCTTTTAGGACCAAATGAGGAAAGGAATGAAACACAGGCTGTAAAAAGAAATGCAGGGGGCCAGATGAATGACTACCCTAAATAACATCACCCATCCAGGAGCAATCCAGAAATGCTATCTAAACTCTGCGGGAGAAAAGTCATGCTTGGGGATCAGACAGACCCACAAAGCATACCTGTCGTGAATTTCTACTTCTGTGGATGGAGTGGGAGAGAGTGGCTTCTTAGAAAGAAAAGAAGACGACGACCTGTAGAGGTGATGAATTTGTTTGGGTACGTGGTCATCATGTCTATTCATCTGTCAGCCCCTCGGAGATTATAATAATGAAAGCAAGCCAAGTGTTCACGTGGATTATCTATCTCATTTAATCCTTACAGCAGCCCCGGGGGAAGGTGCTATTATTATTCTTGTATCACACTCTACCTCGTATGTTCAGCACCTTGTGCAAGGTTAAAGAGCTATCGATTTGTATTTGTAAAGTAAAACCCATACTACTCGACAGGGAAGTCATGGTGCGAATCCAGAACAAAATCAGACTTAAGTAGATATAAACACTTTACAATAAAAAGGAGAGTAGTATATTTTCTAGCAGAATAAGGTGAGCCACAGAATAAAGATTACTGAATGAACAGTGTTGGAGAAGATCCTGTCAGGCTTTTGTGATCCGTCAGACTCATGGCCGATAGATCAGCCCTGTGTCCCCGGCCCTGAGCAGGTGACTCTGTGGCACAGGGAAAGTTAAAGCTTAGACAGAGTGATGGGCTGGTGACATTACAGAGTACAAAGAGATTGTCCAAAATTCCTGCAATGATATATTCTAACCAAACCTCCATGGTTTATGTGTTTTTCAAAATTTCTGTGTGTGTGTGTGTATGTGTATATAAGATAGAGAGAGAGATAGAGAGGGAGGGAGAGAGAGAAAGAAACAGATAGTGGGGAGAGAGGGAAAGAGATTTTATTTTAAAATAGTGAATCTCAGTAGGAGGACAAACAGCATTTCTTCAGTGGCACTTTGTTCCAGGTGTTATCTTTGGTGCTGGGAATACAGTTTTCAACAAAATGTTCAAGGTCCAGGCCCTCAGAGAGCTTACATTCTAGAGTCTCACATGGCATAGAGGAGTGTAAGTGGCATGTAACTCAAAAACACATTTTAAAGAAAACCATTAGTTCCTGTCTTCTGACCTATTATAGGAACTAAAACGTGCCCAGTCCTACTGGCTGGCAAGAAAATAAACAGAAAATAGAATAAAAGAGAAGTATAGGTTGATAATCACTACTTAAAACTATGAGCTTCCCCTCAGTTTTCCAGAGATTTGACAAACTAATATGTTGGTATTGCTTTTGCAAGTGAAACAATTAATATCAAAATTTGGGAGCTCAACAGATACTGTGGCTGTGCTGGAAAGTGTAATTTTGCCTGTATAATAGAGATGGGACTGTTTCACGGAGGTCTCATTAATGTGCTATTCATCAGCAAAGAACAATGTAACCTTTCTCTGCAGGGTCAGGATACAAAAGGCTATTGGAATAATTTTCTTCTTCTGTTTTAAGAAAATAAATTAAACACTGTCTAGAAGTCTAGATACAGAAATTGAAATCACTGAAGACAGAAAAACAATGTGTCCACTCATTCTGGAATCAATGTAACCTGTCATTTCTGTAGGCTTCGTACCTTTATTCATTTACTTAACGGATTTTACCAAGTGTCTACTGTGTGGCAGGCGGTGCCAGGTGTCGGGGCCATAGCGGAAATCAAAACCAAGCCCAGTCTTTTTTCTCGTGGTGCCTACTGTGTAGCGGTCGGTCTGTCCTCCAACTTCCATGGGTATACATCTGTTCTGCATGGGCTCAGCTCTCTGCGAGCTTCGAGATTCCACAGCCTGCTAAAAGGATGTGCAGTTGTGAATGGGAATCCCCCAGTGCAGGGCTTCCAGGGTACATTGGACTGAACACTAATTGTTTGAATTGTTGATTTACTTTTCTAAACTAGGGTTCAGTGGTCGAGTAAGTTGGGCAAATGCTGCTTGTTCTCCCACCTTTTACAGTTCCACAAGCACGAAGGTATAATAAAGGCTGTGAGTAGCTCTGCGATGTCCCGCCTTCAGTGGAACCCCTCTGTCCCTGCGCTCTCTCATCAGTCATCCAGGGGCGATAGCGCCCCGTCTGTCTGTGCCAGGGGTCCAGTGAGATAACATGTGAACGATTGTATGTAAGAAACGCAAATAAGAAATGTAAATGATGCCCTGTGCCCTTCAGCAGTATTCAGCACTAACCAAGGAGAGTAGGATTAGATGATGTAAAGTCACAAGTCTACTTACAATCGTATGCATTAGACTGTGATTGTGTTTACAACCTGAGGTTCACACGTAAGTCATTTAAACAAACGTTTACCAGAAATAACAAAGGAAACAAGAAAATTGACCTTGATTGAGCACTGTTAACAACTTATACACACAGGGTACACACAGACATCTCATTTCTTTATTTTGGCAAAGGTGGTATTGCTATTCCCCTATTACATTGATGAGCAAATCGAATGAAAGGAAGTGACTTCTTCAAGGTTGCCCAGCTGGAACTGGAAACCATGAGAGTCAGGACTTAAAGTACACCCTTCTTGTTCTCCATCCACTGCCTTTGCTCTCATAGCTGCTTTTGTTCAAAACATAGCTCTTGTTTCCTCCGCCCTCTCTAACATGCTTCTCCTTCTCAGTAAATGGCATCGCCACTCTCAGGCCGGTAACCTAGGAACCATACTCAACATCTCTGTTCTTCACATCCTGTATCCCGCTGATCAGCACATCCTGTCAGATGCACCCTCAAGTGCACGTCAAGCCCTGGAACTCAGTGCACCACCACCCCGTCCTGGCCAAGCCACGTCCGTTCTCCAGGAATCCTGCTGCTTTCTCCCAGTCGCCATTCACTCTCCCTTACCCCCTCCACCCGTCACCATTTCATTGTTGGCATAGACTGGAGTGAGCTTTCATGACACAAAGGACATCATGTAATTCTTCCATTTAGAATGCTCCAGGAGGTGGTATATCATGTCTGGAATCGGCTTCAGAATAATCTGGGCAGAAGGGGGCCTAGAAGACATACAAGAGGCAGTCCCACCTGCCTCTCCATCCTCACACTGGCCGCTCACTTCAGCCACCTTGCACTTTTGCTCTTCTTCACACAGGCCTGGCGCTCATTCAGCTTCAGGGCTTCGTCCTTCCGTTCCCTTCTGCCTGAATGCTCACCCCAGATCTTCACGTGGCTCTCTGTCACTTGACCCAGGCCTCTGAAGTCTCGCCTCTTGGGACCTTCATTTCTTACCCTGCCTGGGTTATCTGCATAGACGTGTCACTGCGTAAAGATGCTAATGTATTTCACTTATTTTCCTTCTCCCCCACTAGAAAGTAAGTGTGCATTATGAGGACAAACACTTTGTCTTTTACACCACGGTGTTTTTAATGCCTGGAACATTATAGGCAACAACCTTTTCAGGAAATAAATAGCTAGGCAAGCTTGGTTGTCTAAGTTGCGGAGAGAACCCTGGTTTGGAATGGGAAAACCTTACACTTTTACTTGATCACATTTTCAGCCTGTCACCTGGCTGAGAGTTCATTTACCTTCAGCTTTTGTTTGGGAGTCTGCTTTTGTTGTCCACAAAATTCCTCAAAATGGGGATAACAAGGTGATAGAACTTGGGGAGATGGGTAGAGATTAAATAAGCAAATGTTTATGAGTCCTTTGAAAATAGTAAGGTGTCCCAGACATGCAGAAGAAAGCCTGTCTGTCTTTCAGAGCCTGGTCCTCTCAAGGGCGGCACTGGGGTGGGGGTGAGGGTGGGGGTG